TCAAGCCCTCCGGTACGCTGCCCTGTAGCCTCATTGTGTGTCTCTTCTGACCCTTCCTTCGTTGGCGGTGATGGTGTGCACAGCGCCGCCAGTTGGGCTCGATTCGTCGGCGTCGTCAGCATCAGATTCGTCGGCGTCGTCGGCGCCGTCCTTCCATGCCGAAGACGACCTGCCGGCCGGGCGCACTTTCGCCCAGGCGACGGCAGCAACGTCCTTGTCCTCCTCGCCAAGTCCGCTCTACGCGGCCGCGGCGGCCCCCGCGAACCAGCACCAGGATGATGACGGCAGCGATTGCGAATGCTGCGCGGACCGACCAACGGGCAAACGGGGCTGCTGTGTGTGGGAGTGCGCCGAGTGCGGCGTGTGCAAGATGGCCGACGACTGCAGCGGCCCCGGCTGTCTGCTGTTCTTTCCGACGACGACAGTGACGTGCCAGGGCTCGTTCGGCACGTGGAGCAACTGGTACTCGCGCACTATCTGCGGTACCGCCTTCCTTCTTTCTCCTTCTTCGTTTTAGAAGACAGAGGGCTCACCATCATCAAACCGTGTGGTGTGTGGTGTGTGGTGTGTGGTGTGTGGTGTGTGGTGTGTGGTGTGTGGTGTGTGGTGTGTGGTGTGTGGTGTGTGGTGTGTGGTGTGTGGTGTGTGGTGTGTGGTGTGTCACACATGCAGGGTCGATCTTTCCGATCTTCGTGGCGCTCGTGCTGTTGCTCCTGTGCGTGGACATGGTCATCATCTGCGTGTTCTGGACGCTGTGGAGCTTACTGATACCGCTGGGCATGCTGTTCTTCCTGATGACGCACTACTTCTGCCCGTCCGTCAATCGAGGCGTCGACAAAGCGTGCGGCAGCTATGGCTTCTTTGTCGGCCAGATCTGCCCGTAATGAGGCGCACACTGTTCCCATGAGGAAACTATATCATCTCTCTTCGTTCTTTCAGCCTGTCCGTCCTTTTTATTTATGGATTTTCTTGCAGAATCTCTATTTATTAATTTATAACTACGTATTTCTTGAGCCTTGCCTGTGTGAACCACAGCAGCGCGACAGTGTGGAGTAGAGTGCTATTTGTCTGCCTTTCCCATTGGTGCTTCCGATCGCAGTGCCGCAGGTGGTACACTCACTCGCCTCGCTACTGACGAGCTCCCCCCCCCCGCTGGGTGTAGCTGACGAGACGCAAAAAAAGTGGAAGTAGGAGATGGCGGCGCGCAGGGGCTGCAGTGCGCTGGATCGCTGGGCGGAGCTCACGAGCTCCGACGACGACGATGGTGCTCGCCCTCAAACTCGGGACGAAGAGAAGTTGCGTGCAACGGATGCAACAGAGCACGACGAGCAGCAGCAGCACCGTGAGGAGCGGAAGAAGAAGAAGCAGCCCTTTCGGTACCTGGATCTCCCTGTGGTGCTCAGCAGCAGCGATGACGATGACAACAAGGCCTTGGCGCCCGAGGAGACGGTAGACTGGTTCTCGGGCCTACGACAGCGCCAAGCGCGCCAGAAGCAGGAGGAGCGGGAGAAGAAGAAGGCAAACATGAGCGATGCCGAGCAAGCAGAGCACTCGGTCGGCGAAGAGAAGAGCGAAGCACGGGAGGAGCGAAGGCGGGACGAAAGCGAAAGCGACAGCGACAGCGGGGAGGAGAGAGCGGCGGCGGGCGAGCCGGGCGCAGGGGAAGAGAAGAGAAAGCGAAGAAAGGAGGAAAGGCGCAAGCGCAAGCGGCAACAGCTGCTGCTCCGGCGGCTCGCGCCGTCGAACGATGCGACGGAGGGAGAAGAGGAGAAGAGAACGACGAGTCCAGAGGAGCCCGAGGGAAGCGAAGGCGGTGTGCGGCCATCGAAGAACAAGCGGAGGAAGCTGAAGAAGAAGAGACGAATGCAGGAACGGAAGGAAAAGGAGAAACACGAGCGACAACCACCGCCGACCGCGGCGGACGCGTCGTCCTTCATCTATGTGCCGCAGAGCGGTATCGAGGTGCGGGCGGCGGCGAAGCAGGAAGAGGCGCTACTCGTGGAGGCGGACGATGCCGTTGACGATGATGACGACGACGATGGAGAAGGGCTGGTGGACGTCGGGACCAGTGGCGTTGAGCGCACCGAAACCACGCGGTCTGCTTATCACGCGTTCGTGGAGCGCATGCACGCACAGAGAGGCACTGGAACCAAGGTTTCCCTCTTGCGCCTACACACACGACACACCACCTCACATCCGCCTAAAGATAGTTGTCATTGCAACATGGCCAGGAGGAAGAGGTGAGACAGTTCTTCGAGGGAGTCGTGGGCCTCATGACGCGCCACGTTCGGAATGGCGGCCACCCTCATTCCGGCGAGGTACGCACAACGCGCGCGACGGCACTCGGTCCTCACGGACGCTGATGCATGGGGCGTCGTATGCCTCGCAGGACGTGGTCAAGTTGGTGCACGACACCGAGATCGGGTGCAGCCGCCTCTTCCAGCTGCTCCGCTCTCGCCGGCTACCAAGACTGGTACGTGCGCATCTGATGCCGAGGCGCCGACTGCACTTAACCGCCACCACCGATATCGGTGTGCCAGGTGGTGACGAGCCTGTGGGAGGTCAAGTCGCACCTGATGAAGGGCCAGTACCGCGACGCCAACGAGAAGTATTTCTCGCTCACGATCGGTACCGCGCCACACACCTTCTTCATCCGTCTGGCCGCTCTGTGCCGGCCCCACTTACGCAACACATTCCTTCGTTCTGTTGCCATACCAAAGGCAACGCACCCTGGCCAACGACTGAACCGACGCTGCGGGCCGAAACGATGGAGCTCCTGCAGACCGTCAAGCGGTACCTCTTCCTCGCATGGCTGCGATTGGGGAGAGCGGAGAAGGTGTACTGATCGCTGCCTTCTTTCAGGTTGATGACCTTCTGCGAGGAGCAGCGTTAGTGGTTGGTGAAGAAGAATTGGCAGCCGAAGGTCGCTGGCGGGACACGCAACTCCGATTGGGTTGTGTGTAACTGTGAATAAAGGAGCGCC